TTGGGGATCACTGATCTAACAGACCATCCCTGCCACCAACATTATTATATGCATTTACAGAGGGTACAGTTCCCAAAGGCTGTGCTGAGTTTCCTTAATGTGTTGAAGGAAAACTGTCTATGCTACAGCCAGAAACAATGAAAGGCTGCTGGGATTGCAAGATATTTGCCACTGCAGAGCACGCTTATTGTTTTCCTTTGTTCTTATCTTTCACATATCTTTCTTCTGATATCAGATCACTGTACGCCATCTATTTTGGGTTCAAGCAATCGCGCAGGACTGCAATAGAATTGACTGTCCTTGAACAAACGTTCCCTAGGAATGTTTGCAGGGAAACAGGGGGAATGAGATTGTTTGAGGGCAAATAGCTCTTATTTGTTCACAGTCTAATTTGGAGAGTTCCAAAAAAGTAAAGTATTTTAATTTGGAGGGCAGAGGAGTGGGGGTCGAAAAAGGGCTAGCTTTTGCTAGGGGGAGGCAATATTTTGTCTTAAGGTCTTCTGTGTAGAACCCAAATTAGTGTATATTGGTCTGATCTCAGACTGCGCATGAATTTCCTCTGCTAAAATAAAGTCAACAAATTACTGCACAAGCTCTTTGTAGCAAATGCTCTCTCTTCCTGCTCTGTCTTCATTGGGGCCTTAGAGGAATAAACCCATTTTATTGCGTAGCTGCTTCTTTCAAGAACAAAAGATGTTACGTTCTTCTGTGTGTAGATCTGGAGAAGAAAGACAGAGTTTAGCTGCACGCGACTGAACTTGCTCCAACATGTAAAGCAAAACAGAGAAGCCACCTGGGTCAAGCCACTCTTAATCTCCCAGTTACTCCTTGAACAAAAGAGTGATCATGTTTCAGAGAATCATCAGGTGGCATTGTGTCTATGAAATGAAATGTCTTAGAGCCAAGCAGCACAGTTTCTCAAGTATAAGACTAGGCCTAAGGCCAGGGGTGGGATTCAGCCGGTTCGGGCTGGTTCAAGCGAACTGGATGTTAAATTTACATCTGGTTTGCTGAACTAGTAGTTGAACCAACCGGCTGGCCCGCCCACCCCGCCCTGCCCCTCCCTCCCTCTACGTGGCCCATTTTGATTGCAGGAAAGTGCAGGGTCCACGCAGAGGCCCTGGGAGGGCATTAAAAAAACCCTCCTGGAAGTTCCAGGTCTGGAAACGGGCCTGTTTCCAGCTTCCAGAGGGCCTCCGGAGCCCGCGGGAGGCCTTTTTGTCCTCCCAGAGGCCCGAGGGAAGCCTCCGGACCCTGGGGAAGGTGAAAAATGCCCCTCCCGGAAGTTCTGGTAGGCCATGCCCACCCAGCAACCAGTCAGAGAACCGGTCGTTGGGATTTTTGAATCCCACCCCTGCCTAAGGGCCTATGTAGGAAATGGGTGAGTGTTAACAGCCTGAAATTTAAGGAGCCAGTGGTACCCTGGAAAAAGGTTTCTGCATCTCTTTGTTGCCATCTAGGCTTTGGTCACATGTTTGCAGCTCAGCAAATCTGGGGAGGGCCCCTCCTGCTTTTTGCAGTTATATTGTGGGCACTGAGAAGAAATCCTACTTTAGGGGAAAAAAAGAAAAGGAAGGGCCAGGTATGTTTGCCAGCTAGAGAGAGGACATAAACAGGGAGACAGAAGACCTCCCCTTCCTGTGATTTCTCATGAGGGCAGCTGGGATAGTTTTGGGTTTTTTTGCTTCAAGGAAGCAGGTTCTGAAGTATTTCAGTGCTGGCAGCCAGAGGCGAGAAGGTTGCCTTCTTGCAGCTGGGCAGGAAATAATTGCCACTTGTTCTGAGATTAATACATTGGCCAGAACTTGGAAAGGATAACAAGAGGAATCTGTCATTGCAAAGAATATTAAACACTCCAAAGAAAATGGAAGGGGGGTGGGGGTGGATAGAAGCAGCTTTATCACCCAAGCTGCCCTCAGTCCGGAGCTTTCTCCAAAGGGCCCTGGGCTTCCCTTCCAACACGCTTTTCCTCAAAGGAAGGTGTTTTCTGAGAGGAGAGCTCTGAAACCTTGCCCAGAGAATGGTTTTGTTTCTTTATTAATACCAGGCTGGGCCTAATTGTGACTAATTCACCCTCTACTTCCAACTTTGGGCAGCTCACAATAGCACATTTAATGAACAGTCCACCGCTTTATGAACTTGCAACATTTAATGTTGAAGGAGACCTTCGCACAGACCAGCACTACACGGGGCTTTCTCTTAAATATTACGTGGGGGGGGGGTTGCTATTGAGGCAGATAAACCTCTGGGCCTTCAAAACCAGGGTTGGAATGGACCCACATACTCGCACTGTGCATCACTTTCAAAGGTTATTGTTACAGTAGTTCAGCAATCCATCTCCTGCCTATTCTGTCTCTCTTTGCCTGCCCATCTCTCTCTCTCTCTCTCTCTCTCTCCTCTTCCTCCCTCCCTCCCGCCCCCGTCTCTCTCACACATGCACACCCATTGATTATGCACCTTTGTCTGGTACAGAGGACGTTCCCTCCACCCTTTCTTACTCATCCCAGCACAAAAGTTCTTTGTTTGGTCTCTGGGTTATCAAGGAGTCCTTTATCTCCTCCTTCAAGCCAGGACTGGTGGGGGTTACAGGTGAAGAAACAGCTGAGGCTGAGGGCCGAGGAGAACTAGAAAACAACAAGGGCAGCTGGGAACAGAGGAGCAAACAGAGAGCAAGCAAGAATAAGATAAGATAGAGAAATGCAAAATATGTTAGGGAAAGAGATGGAGGGGGTATAGAAAGCTATTGTAAGCTCTGGGAAATGCTACGGCCACCACCTTCTCCTTCAGACCCTGGACTCCTCCCTTCATCTCCACACCTGTGGCTTGGTGGGGGAAGGGGCGGGCTAGATCCAGACAATGTATGAATTCTTTCATGAGGGAATCTAATGAGGATTTTCTTTAATTTCTGTGGCTGAGTGTCAAAAGAAATAATTGCAATGCTTATATCTCCACTTTGGGGCATGTAGACGACAGCAGAGCACACACACACACACACACACACACACACAAACATTTGCAGAGTGCTTTTGATGTTTTGCCACTGACACCCCAACATGATCATATAAATAAATCTATTAGTGGGTAGGTAAGTAAATTTGGACTGAGCATTTCTCATTCTAGTACAGTGTCACTCTTGGTACCCCCTCTTAATAAACATCAGTATGATCCACGAAGTGCATTTTTTGTGAAAGCCTTAAAGACCTGCTGATTTATATAAACTTTCCCAGCCAACTTTTAAAATAGTATTTTTAGAGCTCATTTTGCTAGAGTGGAAATTCCTTCCCTCCCGCTACGCACTTTTGTAACCTTCTCCTTCAATCCTTTTGATTGCCATTGTTAACACCTGTACCCCTTACTCCTTCCCTAACTCCTTACTACTAGGAATCACGCCAAACTTGCCAAGATTAACCTCGACTCATTATCACTTTTGTGACAAGCACCTTCAGGCTCTGAGCAAGAAGTTTTTCCATAGGGGTGTTGTTCTTTGCAATCACAACGTAACCCACTTTTGCAGGAAAACTGCATTACAGAATATATCAAGGGTGCATAACCTGTTTCAGACCTAGTACTGTATTTTGTCTTTATTTTCTATCTAAGGACTACAACTTTAATAACTGATAGAACCATTTTGCAAAAATTGAGAGAACCATGACAAAAATAGACTGTTTTGCACATTGGTTGAGGCATCAAGCTAAAAGCCAGGAGGTCATGAGTTCATGTTCTTCCTTAGGCCCAAAACCAGCCGGGTAACCTGGAGTCAGTCACTATCTCTCAAACCTAGGAAAGAGGCAATGCCAAACGACTTCCCAAAAAATGTGCTAAGACCATTGTGGAGAATTGTCCAGACAGTCGTCAAGAATTAATGCTGATTGAAAGGTTACCCCCCCACCCACACACACACAAATGCACAGCAAAATAAGGAATGGGCTATCACTGCACCCTAAATGGTCAAAGGGAAAAAGTAGTAGGGTTTTTTTTGGTAAAACTACCAAAATGGTAACTTTTGTATTTAAAAACATACCATGATACTCTTTGATTCATTAGAAATTTTTGTAATGAAGTATGAACAGGTTTCAGTATTGAAGCTGTGGGAAGAAATATCCATCTGGTTCAGTTCTAAGCTGGGAGAAAGACACTGGAAACATGGAGGCTGATTGGAAAGATGGTTTATTGATGAAGCAGAACCACATGGGTTTGTGGCTCTGGTGCAGATGACAAAATGGAGTTGAGAGTGGGGTTTGTTATACCTTCTTTGGGCTTTGCACTTGAGCTTCCTGTTCCTGTGCAAGAGCATGTATTCTATTGGCTATTGCCAGATTCCTATGGGGTCATGTAGGGGTTATTAGGGGTCATAGCTGGCTCTATAGGCAAAAGAAGAAATGCAAATCCTAGCTGCTTGTCTGAGCTAAATTTGGTTGAAGTTTGGACTGCTCTGGGCTGCTTCTAATCCTACCATTCTGCCTTTGTTTCAGAATATCCTCTCTTGAATGGATTTCCGCCTGCAGTATTTGCTTTGCCTATGGATAGAGCTATCTAGATACTTGGCTTCCTTTTTCAATAAGCTCTTTATCTTTTAAGTG